GTGATAAATTGAAAAAGTAGTCGTCTGTTTTCGGAGTGTGGCATGGTTGGCCTTTTATACAGGTCGTCCCTATCAGATGCAGTAGCTTATTTCGCCCCTCAAACATAACGCCCCCCTAAATTAATAGAGATATAGGGATAAGTGTATAGAGATAAGTGTTAGCAGCTATAGAGATAAGTGTTAGGAAAGTCGCGCCGCCGCCTTAATCTAGAAAGGCGCGCTGCCTCCGCATTAGCCTGGAAAATTGCGCCGTCTCCGCCTTGTTCTGGAATTTTTTTTTCTAAATTCAGTTGCGTCGATTACAGTTGAAAACATTTTTGTTTAGTTGAGACGTTCGAAACACCGCTAGTTACTTCGAGTCATTAAAAATTTATGGGCTGCGGTCGATAAAATTTTCATTCGGCTGAGTCCGTTCAAAAGTAATTGGCTTGCTTCGAACACTGTCGAACACCTTATCCTGGTCGAGTCGGTCGAAACATAGCCAGCTTGGGTCGAGTCGGTCAAAACATAGCCATTTTGAAACAAACCGGTCAAAACATAGCCATTTTTGGTCTGTTTCATTGAAACTTAAGTCCAACAACTCGGGCTACACGAATCTACGATGCTCAATTTTGTGTCTTTTTCTTTTATTTTTTGTGGCTGCCAAGGTTGAGGTTTTTGAAAGGTGATTTGACAGAAACAGTCCAATGATGTCCGAGTGTCGTTGTAGTTCAAGACTCTTCTGCTAATTCCCGATAAAGTCGAACAAAGTCGATCAAAGTCGAACAATGTCCAGTATAGTCGAACAAATTCGAGTAAAGTCGAACAAAGTCGAACAATGTCCGGTAAAGTCGAACAAAGTCGAAAACGGACATCGTTCGACTCAAAAAGTCGAAATCGGACATCATTCGACTGAAAAAGTCGAAAACGGACATCGTTCGAACATTTCGGTCGAATCATGAGTCGAGCACCTCAGCCCGGAATGAGAGGCACGTTTCGCCCTTCAAACATGAGGGGAGAATTGTTGCCACTAAATGTAAGAGGGGGATTTGAGCGACTTATAAATATGAGGGGAGAATTGTTGCCACTAAATGTAAGAGGGGGGATTTAAGCGACTTATAAATTTTGTGCAAAACACTAGAATTAACAAAATTAACATGTTTTAGTTTCTAGTTTTTGCTGTTAAATATAAGAATGGATGCAAAATCCATCCGATTAAGTAATTCCACGCAAATAAACCACACTGAGTTAAAAAAATACTCAGAGGAAAGAGCACGCTCGTTAATCTTTCTTGGGACGTTCGGTTACTCCCAACACTGTCCAAGAACGTTTTAGAAGAAAAAAATTGTCCAAATTAAGAATCAAGGGTCAAATTTTCAAAAAGCACTTTTCAACAGCAATATCAAAGTGCTCTGTCTAGGGTCGTAGCCAATTTTTTTTTCTACAAAAAACAGTTGAATTATTGCTTCTTCCACGCCGGTGTTTTGTCAACAGAGACCTCAAGACAAAGTATACTTGATGACAAATTATACCGACCATTGTCAACAGACATTCCGACATCCTGAAGCAGCGCAAAAGAATTGCTTGATTTTCAATAGTGAAAAAAGATATCCATGTTACTTTTTCGCGCAAAAAAATTGAGTTTTTTCGCGTGTAAGAGTCGGCTCAAAACTTGCCTGACACATTTTTATCAATCACTCATAATCAAATGTTTTTTTTTCATTAGGTTTTCATCACAATTAGCCCTTGAAAGCATCGTTGGTCTTTAATTTTTAAATGGTTGCTTTATTTGCCTTTATCAATTGTTCTACTTGAGCGTTACTCAAAGGCTCCTTTTTTTCACTCTAAAAATGCAACCCCAAAGTTAAAGTCGTTTGACTTATGCAAGCCCATGCAAGCATCCAAGAATTCAATTGAGCACTGCGGTTTATACCAGCGATCGTTTTCAATACGTCCGACGTGATTACGAAGGTTTTTGATTAAAGGTCTGAAAAATAGAGTGACTTGAGGCAGGGGCGGATCTAGGATTTTCTCGAGGGGTTGAATTTTCAAAAAAAAATTAGAAAATTTTCTGCACCTTTTTTTTAGGTTGACCCAATTGTTTTTCTAAGCTCTCCCAAATCACTGTGACGGCCCTAGTTTGACCAAATTGTCTGCGCAGGCAATTTTTTGTGAAAACAAGCCAAAAAAGCGTTTTTAGATACTTTTTGGAAACTTTTGACATACTTTCGAAGATTGGTTCCTAGAATAATTGATAAGTCAATATTTAACAATTTGATCAAATTGGTCTTAGAATCTTGTACCGATTTTTTTGCTTCATGGAAAACTTTTTCAAAAATGTTTTTTTTCTTTGCTCCAAAGTTTCAATGCGCCTTCCAAAAGTGCAACGTTACTCAATCAAAAAGAGCCAGAAACAGTGCAGGCAGCTCAGAACGTCCCTTGACTACATTTGCAGACTAAAAATGGAGGTCGAAGAGCAATTTCAAGTTGAGCACAAGTTCTAAACATAACAGAATAGGTTTGTGCTTCTTGATATTGATCTTTGTCTTGCTATTTTTGTTTCTAGTCTCAGTAAAAATACGAAACATTTGTTTTGATTGATTTTTTTCTCCGGGCCAAGTTATATTGTTTGTTGATAGCATTTGAAAACTGTTGATGTCTCGACCTCAATTTAATTTAAAAAAATTTCGCTTGTATTCATTTTTTTTGTAAAATCATTGATTTTAAAGTATACCACTTTTTTTGCTTTATTGAAACAAACAACGCGCAGTAGATTTCATGCTTTTAACACAAAAGCGGTTATTTTATTTGGCTTAGAAAAAGAAATTAGCCCAACTGCATTGCAATATGTTATTTGTTTTAACGGCATGCGTTTGCGTTTTTCATTGCGGCATGCGTTTGTGTTTTTTTTGATAAATATTTTGAACTAAATTGTCACTGTTCCGACTTTTGAAGACGGTGAAGGAACACTGATTCTCCAGACAAGTTTCGACGTTTAAGCTAACAAATTTCAGTGGATTTTTGTTGTCAATCGAAATAAATTGAAAAATATATTTCATCTGATCATTTGCGGTCATTTTTTGTCAGGTTATGGGGATTTGAAGATTGCCAATTTGGCCAATTTATGATAGTGAACGCGCGATATATTTCATGCAAATAACGCTTGAGCAGAGATGTAGAACGTTAAAAACTCGTTCCAAATTCAACTGAGGCAACCTATTGGGTCTATTTAAATCTTTGCTATATTCGATATATATCACTTGTTTAGATAGCATGGGAAGGAGAATTTTCAAAAACTCGTAGTTTAATTTTTTCCTTTAGTTTTCTTAACAAATTTCATCCATTTGTTGAAAACGATTTTATCCATGCAGCTAGAAATGCAATCAGATTAGTAAGACTTGAATTACAGCATCAAAATGGTTGTGTTTTTCAATATTGTTTATTTCGACCAAGATATCTAAGGAAAAAAAGCATCTCGAATGTGATTTTTCATAATTAATTTTATCGGGTCTCAAACTTCCCAAAAAACAACCGTTAAAGATGATATATTTTCTGTACAAACTCTCCTTATATTAAACGTGCCTAACTCTTTTACTCCACTTGGTCCTATTGAACCTCTTGCTTTTTAACTTGCCTATTGAAATTTCTGGCTTTTTAACTATTTTAAAAAAATGGCGATGTTTGTGTTTTAGCCTCATGAAAACAAACTGTTAACCTTTTAATAAAAAACTAAACAACTTAATCAGGGGTGCCGATATTTGAAAAATAAAGATGATAAAGCCACTATAATTGAATTAGAGCTGGGGATTAAAAATTCGTAGTAAAAATTCCATTTTAGACGATTTTCAATAAGTGTTTTATCGATTAATAGCGATATAAAACTTTTATAATTAGTTATAATTGACTATTTTTCACTTTTATGGACACTTTTATCAGGCGAAACTCCTAAAAATGTGCGCATATAATTTTAAATTATAAAATTTTAAAAGCAATATGTCATCCTATACCATAAACGTTGCCTTGTCTAAGCTGGATAAAAAGTATCGCGACAATTCACAACAAAAGACAATTTGTCAGAAATGATAACTGGAAAAAAGTTAAAGAGCGCAAGGCTTGAAAACTTTTTTCATAACTTCGTTTCAGAATTTTGGTTCAAAGTGGGCGCGCTATGACGTACTACTACTTGAAGACCTCTTTAAAATTAGGTACCCCTTTACTTATAGTGAAAGGGAGAATTTGTTACCGACGTTCACTAATCGTACATGGTTTTATTAGACCTATTAAAGTTTGAAGTGACCCCTCTATCGTTCTTCAAACTAAAATAATAATTTCCTAGCCGGTTGTCGGTTGTTAACGCATTCTATATGATAGTTAACGGTCTTAAAATTCACCTTCTCCCAGATTTTAATTAAGTGGTTGTTGATTTTGACGGTGAAGCATTTTTGCTTTTTGCAACTAAGCCTCTAAAAACTCTTTTAGCGAAAACAACCCGAAACCGCACATACTTTTTTGTCAAATGATTTATGAGGAATTTCTTTTTAAGGATTAATGAAAAATAAAATCAGATTTAGAGACAAGGGATGCGTAACTACAGACGCAAATATGACTTGATGGTACCTATAGAAAAATTCCTTTTTGTTGTTTACCGCGGCGTAAATGAAATTATGAACACAGATTTTTTTCCGTGGGCAGTAAATTTCAAACCCAGTTCCACGGCCAGACAATCCATAAATTTGTTAGTAGTTGTCTGATTGCATTCTCAGTACTAAAAAATAGACATCATTTATAAAGGACTTGTCAAAAACAGACGGTTTCTCTCTGACCATTTCCTTTTCTTCCAGCCGATTAATTTTTCTGAAAAAGCTATTTTTTTTCTATAAATTTAAGCTTTTCTCTGTTTGTAGACCAAAAATATTACAAAGTACTCTTATTGTAAATTGTCGTTTTCTGTCTGGAAAATGTCTTTATAATTTCCTGTTTAGTGGTAATGGCGTTATTCTTTGAATAGACTTGTGTTTCAGCTATCTGCTAACCGTAATTGCATCTAGGAGAGAGAAAAGAAGCTACCTTGAGCAGAACAAAACACAAATTATGACCACCGACTTCATTCTTAGCAAAGATTAAATGTGTTTTACATTTACGTCAGTTAAATTCTGCTCATCACACGCAATTAGCGAGGAAACAACTGCGAAAAACCGTCTGTTTTTTTTTCGAAACATTTCACTTCAGGGAAAAAATATTGACCGATTGGCTAGTAAAAACGTCGCTCTGAACAGTTTTATAACGACAGATTTGAAGATTTGCGGAATTAGAAAAGGAAATAACGAATAACATGAGGTTTGAAAAGCCTTCTTCTTTTTAGTGGTTAATAGTCTAATTGGGGACAATTTTGATAGAATGGACTTCTAAAGTTTAAACTTAGAACCTTATTTTTTACACATTTTGAATCAATTTTGATACCTTCATTATGATCGAGTATATTATTATCTAATATAGCTGTTTTATTTGAAACCCAATTTTCCTGAAAATGTATTGAAAAGGCCAGTATTTTGCATTGGGTACGATCCTTATTGATTTAAAAGTGACTTGCAAAAAGAACAATCAATATATACCCTATTTTGTTGACTTTGTTATTGATTGTTACCTGAAAATTTCTATTAAAACCGAAGGAAACCTGGACTATCTACAGGAAAGGAGAGAGATAAAGAGAAAGAATGTGAGGGTAAAAATCGAGACAGGAAGCTTCAATTTTTCGACTGCCCCGCCGCTGAAAAGAAACATTTGTGGCTGCAAAAATGTTCAAACAGTCAGATCAACTTACAAAATCAGGTCAGAAATTTGAAATCATTGATGCACGAAAGTAGAACACATTGGCCACACCCCTATGCAAATCACATGAACAACCATGAACAGATCGATCCATAATGGCTTTTCTTGAATCCCTGAAACTACAAACTACGCATTTTACGTGCTCGAAAACAACGGCAAAAAACGGCAAATAGCAACAACAAGACTGCTCGTATATCAGGGCAAAGCCCCGAATATTCCAACTGCACTTAAGGCCAATTGAAACGTTTTTTTTTTTTTTTTGGTTGAATAATTGACAAAATAGATGAGAAAACAGAATTTTCTTAAAATTATTTATTCATTTTATCCCCCTCAACACACAATGTAAAAGACTTTTGAAGAAAACGGAATACTTATGATTGGCGGGTTTGTTTAGGGTGATTGACTCCCTGAAATCCAATTGTTAAAAAAACTTTTACATCCGATCATTTTTTGCAAAATTTTGCTAGTTTGAAAATTATCAATTTGGTCATGCTCTGGACTATTTTATGCGCTTTTTGAAAATTTTATCGATAATTTTGAAAACGTAACACAAATTGTTCATGCTTGGCGAATTTCCCCGCACAACAAAATCGTTTCAAATTGAATTCTTGCTAGATTATCGTACGTATTAATTTGGATATTGTCCAAATTTTATAATTTTTCGATAATTTTCTTTTCCCAAAAAACTATTCGATAGGGATAAAGGGCAGTCAGAGCACTCAGGGCACTCTTATGATATACGAGCGTTCCTGTTTTCCTTGGCCGTGTTTTCGGTTTTTGTTCCGATTTACATAACGAAAGTAACAAATATTTGTGCTCGGTGTGGGTTTTTTTCTTCAGACAAATTTCGACTTTTTAACTAGCCAATTTAACGGGTTTTTTTAAAAATCGTTGGAAAGGTATTGTTATCCTGAGTTTAAATTTGAAAATGTATTTCTTCTGTAATCACAATCCCTAAAGCTATGGGTCTTTAAAGATTGCCATTTTGGCCAGTTTGGGCCAATTAACGCGCGATATATTTCGCGCTACTAACGCACAAGCGGAGAATTAACCCGTCTTATAAATCATTCCAACTTGGTTGAAGGAAGTTATTTGCCATCATTGAGTAGTTAATAGGAGTAAAATTTATCAATTTACTCATTATTTGGCGTGTGGGGGTATGCTTTTCACAAAGAAAATCCCAAACTAATTTTAAATGTTTCATTTTTTTTATTACTTTTTTTGTTGTTATTACTGCTCCAGAGACTTTGAGAGGCTGCCGGAAAAATCAGGGTTTCGCCCTGATACGAGCAGTCTTGTCTGTATTTTTTTGTTTAATTGATTTTTGTTTGTCGAAGATACTTCTGATACACATGTTTTGTTGTTGGAAATATTCAGTCATATCTTGGGACGATCTTCTGCCTTCAATGCTCAAGTTCTCAATAAAATGTTGCAGTTTTTATTTACCTAAATTTTGATTTTTTTGCAATTATTTATAGCATTTTCAAGTCATCTAACTTTTTTCGATAAAATTGGTTCCTTGCTTAACTTTAACCATGAAAACTGGCAGTTTTAGCCTTCTATGAAATATGCTGGAAATATGTTGTCTGATCATCCTCTGGAAAACATTAACATATCATATCGAATCTGATCAAATTACCGTCCTGATAATACGACCAGTCTGTGATTTACAAGGCAAAGATCTGAATTTTCAAACTGCATTTTAGAGTGTCTCAATTAGTATTTATAAAACACGATAAGTTTTCAAAACAAAAGAATTTTTTTCTACGCCACACGCTTTGATAGTTTTCACAGCTAATAATGTAAATTGGAAATAAAATAAATTGGAACTGATTTTTAGCCAGATTTGTTACTTTGGCTAATAAATAGGCCCTAAAACCGCGCCCATTTCGGAACAAAATTGAAATACGTTTGAGGATAGTTGCCTTAAACGGCAGTTTTATTACGTTTCTTGTGAACAAGTTTTTAGCAACAAACAAATATATGTTAAAAGCGCAAAACCTTATTGTTTCACAAACATTATTATTCATATATTTATTCCATCTGGAAAAAAACAGGTAAAATCATGGATTGACGTTTATTTGCAGCGATATCAAATTTGATGTTACTTTTAGAAACGCTGTTCAACTTCCAAAGAAAGTGGCGGAACAATTGAGCTCCGGGTGGTTTTTTTCACTACTAGAATTTTTTTAACCTGTAATTTTGACGGAACTGTTCTATCGTCTGAAAACTTTTTTGAAAATTTGAAAAAAAATGTGATTTTTTTGCGTAAATTTGCGAGATTTTAAAAATTGAAAGTCTTAACAATTTGGAATATTTATTTCCCGATGTAATTCGTGCTGTTAATGCTTCAGCGGTAGTTTAATACGTTCTAGAAAGTGTTCCAAATAAAATTTAGGCAGGCTGTTTGGTCTGTTCATGGATTTGGCATAGGCGAAACATATCACTTTGTACTTTACTCAACGCGTTGGTCAATGTTTTTCAAAATTTATCTTTAAAAATTTTTTTTCTCTGTAGAACTCGAAAAGCATTCGGAACATTCAGGGCTTCGCCTTGACACGAGCGGTCTTCTTTGCTTTTTTGTTCGTGTTTTCGAAAATTGAATCATAATTGAATCTGATGGTTGAATTGAACTTCAACGGTAAATTTATTTCGGAAACTCAATCAACAGTTTAATGTTTTGACGATAACTTTTTTCCTTTTCCTTTTATAAAAAAATGTTATGTAGACCCGGAGAGATTGCCAATCTATTTAACTATCTCCTTTTTTCTTGATGATTTGGGAAGATTGTTAAGGAGGGTATATTGGTCGAGTTGTCCAACAATCAGAATGCAGCAAGAATGTTAAGGCAAGCAAAATAGTAATAATTCGCGTAAAGCAGCTATTTCAATTTTTTGGTTTAGCAAAGTTGCTGCAAAAAATGAATCCATCGTTGATAAATATGATTTTGTGACTGAATTTCTCATTGAAATGCTTTGTCAGGCACAGTAAAAAAATTGATAAGACACCATACTAAGAAAAGTTTTTGTGGCTGCAAACACCATCAAATTCCTTTGCCATAAACAGTAAAAAAATGGATCAAAAAACCAGGATAAGAAGAGTTGTAATTAATTTTTCGTAGAACCACCACTTGATTGATTAACTCTGTTTTAGTTTCTTAAAAGTTAATATTTGTTTTACGAAAACATATATTAACTTTTAGGGCCCGCAGGAGCCCTTACATTTCATTGTTTTGAAGGTAAATTCTTGAATTTATGATTTCGGTAAACTACTCTCCTCGAATGACTGTCGCTAAGCGCAGCACATTTAAATGGAAGTTGATCTATGCCGAAAATTTTCGCTCAAGTTTCATACAAAAAAAATCAAAAAAGTGTTTAGAAATTTTCGATAAAATTAAATGTCTTGAAATTTACTTGAATTTAGGTTTCGATTTTTCCGATTTTTAGACTCTGTGTTCGACTTTATTTTTCCACCAAGCAACTCACATTTTTGTTTCGACTTTGAGTTTGATTATAAGCCCTTCGCGACTAAGATTTTTTTGGTCAAACGCTGACATGTGTTTAATCCGCCTACGTCGAAACGTGAATCGCAAACGTTGACTCGCTTAATATTTCAAATATTTTATCAAATATTTTAAGCTGTTTATGGTCTGATACGACATTTTTTCATGCCTGATAAGTTTGACAAAACGCTATTGGAATGGTTTTTTTCTTGCTCGGAAATAGTGCTATGGAAATATATGACACAAACTTTCTGTTTGTATGTTTTTGGTTTGTAGAGACAGAAACTAATGAGATCCATTTAGTCAATTATATAATTTGTCAGCGCTATGCACAATTCTTGAGAGCACATTAAAAAAATTTTTTTTTATAAAACTTGAGTTATGCTTAATTGCTCCTTTTTGTTACGACCTCTGAAAATGAATGGAATTTTGTGTTTGAATGCTGATTATGTTCATTTTTCTACTTGTTTTGCACGCTAGGTCAAGTACCAGAAGTAATAATTACGATGAGTTGACTGTTGAAACATTTTAAAGCCCTTTCAATTGTGAATAGAATGATATGAGAAAACTCTAAGTATGTTTTCTTATCTTAAAAAAATTGAACTTTTGATGTCGTGTGCAAATTTGAGCGAGTACAGCAAGTAATGCAATTACTTAAGGTAGTGTAATTGAAAATTTAGTTTTGGGATGGGAAAGTTTTTAAATAAAGCACCATGTAGCGCTAATTTGGCACTTTGAAGCTCATAAAATAAAATCTAAGCTTTGTGTAACATGTAATCATTTCAAATATTTTTAGAAATTTTGTTTGTTTTTTCGAATAATTTTTGTATCGAAATGCTCATTTAACTTTTTTTGTTCAATTCATTTTTGAAATAAAACTGTGATCAACGAAAGCCAATGTTTAAGGTTTAAGTCTTAAGCTTTTTGAAGGACTTGTTCCAAAACAGTGCTCAAAAAATAATCTGATTTTGATAAAGGAGTTTTTATTTTTTTTCTTGAATAACTGTCGTCGGACTGAACTTTCCTCATTTATTATACAGAACTCTCTCTGTGAGATATAATAGAAAATTTACCCACATTTTAAGGCCGTATCTATACGCTTAACGTCCCTGAAGTGCGGTAAACGAATACTGTGTTGAAAGCTTTGCTGTTTTTACACTTTTATTCAAATTTCGCTTCCCTGAAAATTGAAGCACTTACGCACATAGATCATCTTTTCCCCCATTAGTCTGGTTTCAATTCAAGGTTTGAGATGCAATTTGTGTTTGAGACTTTGATGGAAGCTTTTGGTCACATAAGATTTTTTCTAGGTCTTTTTTGTTTTTTGACAAATGTTTTTGTTTAGATCACCAAGGAATCATCGCCCTCATTTTTGGGATATGATATAGAGCCATACAATGAAAAAATTGATTCAGCCAATGTAAATTTTCCTTCTTATTGGGAGTTGGGGAGTTTATCGTTCTTTTTCGTCAGGATGAGGTCAGTTTTACGAAAAAGT